TTTATCTTTTAAATCCCGTTTAAAAACTCATTTATTCAACATAGCTTTTCCATCTAGTTAGCGTCCCTGTTTTATATTTGGTTCAATTTCTTATTTATATACTTTAGCTATATCTGTTCTTAGTAACTTTGTTCTTATATTCCCTTTTATTGTTGTATAATTAGTGCCCTTAACCTGATGACATATGTGCTACTTTGTTAATAGTCTTTTATTTATTGTCTTAATTTTCCTGTTTTTATTGTAAAGCACTTTGGTGTACCACTGGTCTTTTAAATGTGCTATACAAATAAAGTTGTATTGTATTGTACTTAGGTAAGACAGTTTATTTACCACTAACACTCTGAGAAACTGGGGATAAAAACTCGAAGGATACTCTTCAGTGCCCCGTTTGTGAGCTTCAGCACTAAACCCAGTGAATCACACTGAAGACACAAATGTTTAACTTACTGTGTTGGTAACAGTAGTGATACTCACAGAGTGTATTTGCTTTAATGGAAATTTATATAAAAACCACCAACTTCAACATACACACATATTTTACATTTCGATGGGCTCATGGCAGACTCTTCTCACCAGTTTCCAATGAAGCGGGGATCACTCTGGTCGATGTTGACAACAGTCTTGGGGTCCACGTAAAAGCCGATGAGGACTCCACCCAGCAGGTAGCCAGCTGCTGGTCCCAGCGCTCCCATCACGTACATGATGGCTGAAAAGAGCAGAGAGAAGCAGAGAGCTCGAACTTTAAATGTGTGCAGGTTTTGGCCGAACATCAAAACTACTTTTAGAGTTGAACAACATCCAGCAGACACAAAGCAGCCTCGTCATCTCACTGGAGTCAGTTCAGATAAATCAACTCCAACATTCATGCATCTTTTCTGCTTTGTTTTGGTCTCGATCTCTTTTGAAGGCCATCAAAAGCTCTTATCTTTGACTGTGTGCTGTCTGGTGCTTTGGAAGTTTTTTAATGTGACCAAAACTGAGCTAAAACATGAACTGTGCACGTGTTTGAGAAAATCTG